CTGCCACTCCCACAACGCCAAGGCGTAAATACGACCCCCCCTCCCAAAAATGATCAAATACGACCCCCGTCCCTTTACAACGTCCATGAAGCGAGAAAAATCATTTATCAAAATAAATTTATCTCAGCCCAAATACGACCCCCTCCCCTATAGGGGATTCCCCAACAACGATATGCCCTGTTGATAATACACTCTGGTTCGCTGCGGACGGTTGGGCGTGTCAGCCAGTATGAGTGCTCACACCTTCAGAGCCTTTCTCTGCCTTGAAACGCGCATGCGACAAAAAGTGGTAGGAAACGAGTAATACGAAGATGATACAGTATTGTCACTTGCCCACTTCAACAACTAATGGAGCGCCACTCCCACAACGCCAAAACGTAAATACGACCCCCCCTCCCAAAAATGATCAAATACGACCCCCCTCCCTTTACAACGTCCATGAAGCGAGAAAAATCAACTATCAAAATAAATTTTTCTCAGCCCAAATACGACCCCCCTCCTGGCGACCAAATACGACCCCCTCCCCTATTGGGGATTCCCCAACAACGATGTGCCCTGTTGATAATACACTCTAGTTCGCTGCGGACGGTTGGGCGTGTCAGCCAGTATGAGTGTTCACACCTTCAGAGCCTTTCTCTGCCTTCTTGTTGAAAGCGCATGCGACAAAAAGTGGTAGAAAACGAGTAATACGAAGGATATGATACAGTCATATCATTTGCTCGCTTTAACAACTGGTGGAGAACGAGTTTGGCACCGCGCCAAACGCAGCCGCACTGACACGCCCAACCGTCCGCAGCGAACTACAGTATAAGTACATTACTAGTTGTAAGCACAATCCGCTTTTGTGTCTGCTATTCATCGATTTCTCCGTCGCAAAATTTTTGGTTGCAAGAATACAGGGTAGGTGCACTTGACAATAGCAGAATGCAGTACATTTTGTATAATTCTGTACTGTTGTGCAATACAGGGATTTCGAGTGTTTTAACAGAATAGTACAGAAGTACACAATAGGCACTGTACTCTGCTATCGTTAATGTTCTTGCAAGCATAACTTTCGCTGCGGAGAAACCGATGGAGGGTCCGTGGCAAGACAATCGTAATTCGCCGCGCCAGTGGGGCGTCGCGTGCGACGTCGCGCCCGCTAATGACGACGATTTTAGGTGATATTGGTCGAGAATAGGCAATGTATGACAAACAGACATAAGTGTCCACCATGTCCTTGTCTGCATGAAATCCGATGCTCCAATCGAAAGGGTAGTGCAAATTAAGGAAACGTCGCGCCCATTGCCGCGCGCGACGAAGCGGCAATTTACGATTCTCTTGCCCGTCTTCTCTTCCGGTGAGATATTTTCATTTCGATACAATCGTGGTCATGTCTCCGTCCAACACAGCACAAGATGACAGCTGTCTCAAACCGAAGTCACGAATCACTATTCTATGGCATGTTCCTCCTCAGAAATCAGGGGTGTATGTGTAAAGCAGGTGGTCCCAACATTATGCAGAAATTCCACTGAATTGCTTGAGCCTTACAGCCGCGGTTTTACATGTATAGCATAAAGGACACTTTGATTCCAAACAGTACGTCAGCAGAAAGACCGGAACAAACGATAGGTGTTCCAGTACAGATGTCCTGTTTGTATTACCTCGACAGGGGTCATCGTGTGATGTAATCTGTACCCATATGGGTCAGCCTAACTAGTAGTACCAGTGGTACTTGAGGTAGATGAAAAATTTCTGAGAACCATTTCTTTTTGAGCCACTTGCCCTGTATAGATATGAAAGAACCATACACTCAAAAAGTC